AAAAAGAAAAAAAAAAAAAAAGAAAAAAAAAAAAAAAAAAAAAAAAAAAAAGTACGTGGGGAACGGTCTCTTCGCGTCTAGCTGTACCTCACTATGATTTTCTTACACTCCGCCCTTATGGTGCCAAATCAACATAATCATCTAGATTCCGTGGAATGTGCTCTAGTTTGTACTCGTTTTGTGTAAAAATGCAATTTTCGATGCACCACAAACTGATATATACAAGCTAAAAATCACATATTATGATCATCTTGCTTCATAATGTAGATTTTGAATGGGATAAAACGGGTACAAAAGTGATAATATTCCATATAATCTCGAAGATTCCACTAAATTTGAGGAGTTGAGGGGTGGTTGTAATTATCCAAACAAGAGGGGTGTTTTTGTAATTTGACCATACCTCAGGGGGTTGTTTGTAATTTACCCTATATATTATAATCCTTTCTTTTGTTTCACGCTCACGCTCCTATTTGTTTCGTGAATATCACCTTCTCCCAAGAAAAAAAATCAGAACAAATACTTTTTATTTTATTTTTATTTTTATTTTTATTTCAGATAGATGAGTTAAAGATACAACGTTGTATGGTGTCAAAGATACAACGTTACGAAGGTCACTTTATTAAATTACTAATTAGTGTGGTCCCTCTACAAATGTATACGTGTTGATTTAGGACCCGTGAATATAGTTTTTTTTTTTTTTTTTTTAATTTATTTAATGAAATTTATGATGTGTGTGATTATATACTATACTATCATTTTTCCTCCGTGCGTTGCATGGGATATTATTTGAAAAGTGAAAAAAATAATCAATTTAATACATTATAAGAAAATATAGTACATAGTAAAATTTAATAATGTAGTATTATTCGTATTATATATAACATTAGTTTTTTAAAATATTGCATATTAAGATTTATAATCAAAATACATAGATTAAGATTTGAGAAATCGAATTTCTATCTTTATTTCTTAATATTTGAGATATATTGATGGAAAATAGGAGATTGATAATTGTTGAAAATTATAGTAAGAAAATTAGTAGAAAAATATATTAAAAATAAATAATTACAGAAACACCATTAAGGTTTTTTAGGGTTTCCCAGCGTTTCTTTATTTTATATATAAGATTATATACATATATATACACACGAAAAATCAATTTTTTTTATTAAATATAATATTATTTCGGTATTCGAGCTTTAGCCTTGTTCGATGCCCGATTGTAAATTTGAATGTCACCATAATATATTTTTTTTACAAATAAATGTCACAATAATTCTTACTTTGAGTAAATTATGTAATAGCATTTATGAGTATTGAAAATATGTGCATATATTACAATTTACTTGTAATATATACACTATTTATTTATTTAAATTTGTACTTATATTATATTTGTTTACCCAAAGTAAAGAAAATTGCAGAAAGTTAGTTAAAATATTAACTTCTTTTGGTGGGAAATTATGACTTTGAACAATTTTTATTTGGATATAATTTCCATTTTCGGCCACCAATCACATGATTTTTGTGGCCTAGTAGCAAATGGAACATGGTACTTATGTCATAGCATCTTGAATTTGTCACGTGACCAAAAATATTCCATAAAACATTTATAATTATTATTCTAAAATTAAATTAAATGTTTTCCCATTTTCTTCTATCTAACAAACACATAAAAAGAAAATTAGTTGAATAATCACGTATTAGTTCATTAAAACGTGATTCACGAGTATGAATTGGTTATTTTAATGTTGAAGTGTACCTTTTTGTAATTACTTTAGTTTGGTACAAGAACACGGGACCATAGTTTTTTTAATTTCTCGTTACTCCTTATATTCTTATTGTTTATCACTTTACGCCTATGTAGTTAAGATTATTTCAATTTAGATCGTTTTATTCACATCTTATTTCAGTTTAATCAATTGCAAATTAACCTAACCAAATTTTAATGAACTATGGCTTTTGACAACCAACACCCTCAGATATTTAAACTTTTTCAAATGTGACCCCCTAGACTATAATAATTTGGCAACCCTACCCCTGCATTTATATTTGCATTAATTATTTTTTAAGAAATAATATTTTTTCTTAGGTCAACGATAAAAATGGAGAAATCTATTTTTTTTTCTTAACTAAATTTAGGTGGAAAAACAAATTATTTTTTACGTATTAAAATTTAATTTTATTAAGAATTCTTATGTTGACTAAATTACATTATTCTTCTCCCATGTATTTTCATCTAATCACATATGGCTCCTTAATATTTTAAGACCCATTAATTTCCTAAACTTTTTTCATTGTTACCCTCATTAAATATTGAGTAAATTGCATTATTTTCCTCTAAAATTAGATCTAATTACATGTAGATCCTTCATAGTTGAAGACATTACAAAATCTAAAATTAATTTTATCAAAACATATGAAGTTAAACTCATTAAACAAATATTTTTATTTTCACTAATTGTTTTTTTTGAGTGAGCAATATCCCGAGTGGGGGACACGCGCGGAGTGAGTGAGAGTGGGGCGAGAGAAAAGACGAATAAAAACGAGGTACCATGGTAAGAGAGAAGCATTGTAGTATTACCGGAGGGGAAGAACAAAAGAGGGAAATGGTGGGCCCATTCCCGTACTCTTGGATTGGACTTTTCTGGAAAGGTTTTCCTTTTATTGCTATTGTTCCATTTTCCTTTTCTGAGACCAAAATTAAAAAGAAACTCCTCCACCCCTTTGCCGTGGCCCTGACTTGCAATAATTCCTTCCCCCCCTTTTTGCCCTATTCCTTAAATACCCTCCACTCTTTCGCATATTTACATCATTTTTCAAGAAACTCTTTTTTTTTTTTTTTTTTTGTTCAAAAACCAATTTTTATACGATTGAAGACCTAAATTCTCGTAGATTTTTACTAATAAGAGAGGTTTTTATTTTTTATTTTTTTTATTACCTACAAGAATTTTAATTTACTTATAGCATAGATTCGGCTTCATTTACTAATTTTATTATTCAACTTTAATTGATAAAATTACGAGTGCGCCCAATTGCAAAATTGACATTCAATCGTAGTTCATACACATATTAGCAGAGCCAGGATTTTAAGTTTGAGGGACATATCACATTTCAAATTTTATGTGGGGGATGTCTAATTTTATTGTACAAACAAAAATTATATTTATATATAAATTAATAGATATTTGACAAATGTTGTTGAGATCATGGCCCCGATCCTATGTTGGCTTCGCCACTGTACACACACTCATAATAAATTCGAATAAAATGCAATTAATATGAATACATGTTTCTAAAAACTTTTGCAAACAGAAACCCCAAAATCTAAAAGCCCAAAAAATCCGAAAACCCGAAAACAACCTGAATAAGGTTAAATGAGCTTGTCACAATTTATTACAATTCATGTATTTTTCCTATAGCAAGCCAATTAAGGTAAAGGAAAAGGCCAAGTCATGAGCTGGCCCAATTTAACTCCCTTGGTAAAATTGAGGTAACAAATTAAATAAAGAACCAATTTTCAAGAAGGGTAGGGGGTGGGAAAAAAAAAATTGACGTGTGGATTGAATGAATGAAAACGAAATGATAATTAGTGATATGCCCCAATAAAGGTAATTGAGTAATAAGTCATTCATCTAGTGTTTGTGCTGTCTATTTCCATTACTAGCTAATTAAATATATACATATATATCAAAATTAAAATGAGGAGAGAGAAAATAATAGAGAGAGAAAGAGAGGGGGTGGTGGGGGTGGAATTGCTTTTCGATTTGGTTAACGTCGGAAAGTTGCGTAAGAAAGAGATGGTTTCTTATTTTTCATTAATTTAATTAATTTCATTTTCCTAATTTTTTTATTTTATTTAATTAGTTTGGGAATTGTTAGATATTGAAATCTTAAGACAGAGGGCAGAGGGAACTTAGGGGATAGATTTGGAGGGTCAGTTGAGGCTAGATATGTAGATAGTGTAATAAAAGCGTAGAAACCTATAGATACAGGGTAAATGTGTATGTATAGGTTGGAGTTTTTAAAGAAAAAAGAGAGAATGGTTAAAATGGAACACCCACAGCAGACATATATATAAATGGAAAGAGTTTTATAAAACCACCCCTCAATAAAAAGTATTTATGACTTGATTGAAAAATAGCACCAAAATAAAAAATAAAGCAAATGGGTTCCTCCTCTTTCTTTGAAATTAAACACTTATTTCCAACATAGCTAGCGAGAGAATAGTAGTGAGACGATAGACGAGAGAGCGAGAGAGAGAGAGTATGCTGCTCTTCGGCCATGGTCGTATGCAGTATTGGGAGAGGGTAGCTAGGCGAGAGAGATCTAGTTGAATAGTTGTGGAGTGGGAATTTAATTACGACAATTTTATTATAAATTTTTATTAAAAAAAATTATTTTTTTAAATTGGGAAGAAACAACCTCGTCTATGGTCGTAGGTTGTTTATGTAGTTTAACAAGGGACAGCAAACAGTTGAATGGTAGAGACATTATTAGTAAAAAAAAAAATTAGTATATAGACAGCACAAGGGAATATCTATAATCTACTGCCTCCCCTTATTTTGCCATACTACTCAACTCACACAGAGAATAGATAGATAATAGTAGAGAGAGAAAGAGTTTGTAGAGAGAGAGAGAGAGAGTTCTTGTTTCTGCTTCTTGATTAGACTGTAGTACTGATTAGAATTCTGAAGCAAAGAAAGAAGAGAGAGTATTATCGTGGTTTTTTGTTTCTGGTGTTGTGTGATTATTATTATTTTTTTTTTGTGGTGGTGGGGAGAATGTGGGATCTGAACGGTTCGCCGGATCGGAGAAAGGACGATGAATCGGAGGGGTACTCCGACGAGAAGGGTAAACGGGTCGGATCCGCTTCGAATTCTAGCTCATCTGCGGTGGTTGTAGAGGACGGCTCCGACGATGAGGAAGATTTGGAGAAAATCGGTGGCCGGAAGCGGAGCAGCCGGATATTTGGATTCTCGGTGCACGACGGCGGCGACGACGACGACGACCGTGCTCCGGGGTTGTCGCCGGTGACGCATCAGTTCTTCCCGGTGGAAGGGCCGGAAATGGCGGGCGGCGGCGGAGGACCCGCCGATTTCCCCAGGGCTCACTGGGTCGGTGTTAAATTCTGCCAGTCGTCCGAACCCCTCGGCGGCGGAGCTAGCTCCGTTGCCGGGAAGTCGTCGGCGGCCGCGGCGGAGGTAGGGCAGCCTCTCAAGAAGAGCCGCCGCGGCCCCAGGTCCCGGAGCTCCCAGTACCGCGGCGTCACGTTCTACCGCAGAACCGGCCGTTGGGAGTCTCACATATGGTATACCAACACACAAATCTCTCTCTCTCTCTCTCTCTCTCTCTCTCTACTTTCTCTCTCTTGTTTCTCTCTCTACAATCTCCATACATACAAATTGAACTTCTCTCTCTTGATTCAGGGATTGCGGCAAGCAAGTCTACTTAGGTTGGTTTTTTCTTTTTACCAATTTTTCATATAATTAATTTTTATTATTACAAAATACAAACAAGATCATATATATATTATATATATATTCTTCTTGTGTATGTATAGGTGGATTCGATACAGCCCACGCCGCCGCCCGGTAAGCCTTAGCCTTCCTCCCTCCGCCACCACCACAAAATGTACTACATCAAATTTTCAACCTGAGATTAATAATAAATAAAAATATAATTGCAGTGCATACGATAGGGCAGCAATTAAATTCCGAGGAGTGGAAGCAGACATAAACTTCACTCTAGAAGATTACGAAGACGACTTAAAACAGGTTAATTAATTAATCAATTAATTAATCCCGTACGTACGTACGTACGTTACATACACTAGATTTTCATCATTTGCCTTTATCTTCATTAATAGTTGTATTAATTTCTTGATTATTATTATTCATAATTAAAATTAAAAAAAATTGACAGATGGGAAATCTAACGAAGGAGGAATTTGTGCATGTACTAAGGAGACAAAGCACTGGTTTTCCAAGAGGAAGTTCTAAGTACAGAGGTGTCACTTTGCACAAATGTGGTCGATGGGAAGCCCGAATGGGCCAATTTTTAGGCAAAAAGTAACACTTTTTTTTTTTTATTATATCTAATTTTATTTAAATCTTGATTTTATTGATTGCCTGATGAATTTTATGTTTATCGAAATAGGTACGTTTATTTGGGTCTCTTTGATACTGAAATTGAAGCTGCAAGGTGGGTTTGGGTTTTTTTTTTTTTTTTTAAATAATAAATTTAATGTTATTTGAATTGGTAGTTTGAATTATAAATTTTATTGCAGGTCTTATGATAAAGCAGCAATAAAATGTAATGGAAAGGAAGCTGTTACTAATTTTGATCCAACCATTTATGAAGATGAACTCAAAGCAGCAGGTACACACATTTATTTGATTATTATTATTATTATTATTATTGTTTTCTCAATTATTGAATATAATTTTTAATTTTTTTCAATTTGCTTGGTGAATTTCAGAGTCTTCAAACAATAATGCAACGGATGATCACAATCTGGACCTAAGTCTGGGAAATTCAGCTTCGCCACAAATCAACGAGACCGGTTTTAATCGAGACCACAATTCTTTCTCGACGCAATTCGAATCGGATTGGAGACGCCATGGATTAAGGCCTGAGGTATTAAATTACAACATTATACATAATAATTATATAAATAAAACAACATTCTTGATTAATTATTTTATTTTTTAATTAAATAAAATGTTGAATTTGCAGCAAAATTTAATTAAAAACCCTGAAAGAAAAGATGGATATATGGAAACAGAAACATTGCAGCTGCTAAGCCAAGCACAAATTCATTCTCCTGTGCAACAAAGATTTGGTCAATTAAACAGACCTTTTGTTGGCTCCCAAATTTACCAAGTAATTTTTTTTTAATTAATTAATTAATTTATTAATTTTTTATTTAGGTTTTTGGTAATTAAATGAAAAATTAAATTGAATCAGGTTCAACAACAGCAGCAACAACAACAACAGCAATGGCAAATGAATCACAACCGTCAAAACCAAGGTCATCAATTGTTTGCTAGTGCTGCAGCATCATCAGGATTCCAACAGGGCGCGTCGCAGACGATCACACCCCAAAACTGGTTGCACAAAAACGGGATCCACCCTCTCATCAGACCCTCTTAATTAATTAATTAACCTAATTATTAATAATCCCACTCGTTAATCTTTATTTTTTATCTTCTGCTGTCAATTTTTATTCTTTGTTTTTCCTGTTTTGCCCATCAGAGAATGAAAAAGAAGATCTTCGTTTCTCTCTCTCTCTATATATAAATATAACTATTCTTGAAATATTAAATTCAAGAACAATGAATATATATTATATCAAATATAAATGCATGTCATTATTTATCAAATTTTTTTAATTTAGTTAATTATGATCAGTTTGTTAGATGTTACACCGCGTTTTTTACACCAAGTAATTTTTTTACCCAGTTAAATAACAATCTACTAATCGCACGTAAACATTGGTGTGTGATTAAAGTCACCGATTGTAATTCACATCAAATAAGCCCTAATTATGTAGTTAAAATTGTTAATCTTGGATTAAAATTCATGTAATTAAAAAGAATAAATTGGAAGAAAAAGAAAAAAAAAAAAGTATATAATTATTAATTTTTTAAAGGTGAGCGTTGTTATGGGAAATATCAGCGGAATGGTGGTGAGTTGTCACTATCGTTAGTGTCCTTTGAATCAGTTCTCATAATAAAAATAAATAAATAAATAAAATAAAATAAAATAAAATAAATAAATAAAGCAATTCAGACAGACCATTGCTATTATGATGAGAGGGACTTAACCTAACTCTACAAAAGCTTCAATTAAAAAAAAAAGTGAAAAAAATAAAAATTCCCCTTACCCACTTTATTTTAATTACAACCCACAAATTATTTACGAGGTTTTTAATTATTTTCTTGAAATTAAAATACTTTAAATAAAATAACAATATATCCAGATACGCAGACATTGATTATCCAACTCCTGAAAATAAAATAATAAACAATCAGCGCAATTGCGTCATCTGCGACGTCATCATCGATTAAATTAAGCACTTGTTACCTTCCATTTTAGTACATGTTGCTAATTAATTAGTGTATAATTATACGAATAATTATTTGTTAACAGCTCCTTGTCGTGCGTGGGAAAGTTGGAATATTTGAAAAGGCTAAAATATAATTATTATAATCTTGATTTTTGTTAATTTTTTTATTATTATTTTTTTCCCGGGGGCCAGAATCATGCCCCCCTTTGAATTTTTTTATTTTAATAATATAATAACATAGATATTTTGCTCTCTCTCCTCCTCTCTCTCAGTGGTTGTTTTGACTGCATTTGATGGCCACGTCGACAACTAGGTTTTAATAATAATAATAATTAATAATTAATATTGTTAATTGCTTAGTTAATTAAGGTTTTGATTCGAGGTTGTTCGATCGGCAAGTCACCTCAGGTGGTCCAATATATGATTTAATTCCACATTACATTATAGTATATGGTGTGTAATTCTCTTACCTTTACTAGGAAAGAGAAATTAAATATTGTCCCAATTTCAATTATTGGATACAAATTTAGATCCACTATTTCGATAACTTATTATTATCATTATTTTCATATATTGAAAATTAAAAATTAAAAAATGTTATGGAATCGCTGAGGTAGAAGATTATTATAGAATCAATCAATCGTGTAATAGTATACGAGAGACGTAATCACACTCTGTTAATTATGTGTAACAAATTTGTAATAGCGATTCTTGGAAAGAAAATCTGAATATGGATCAATTGACACAAATTCCCTTGTTTCAACCATTATTAGGCTATTCTTATCGGACAACGGGAGGTACAATTTTGGAATTTAGGAAAATGTGATTAGAGAAGAAAAAAATGATATTAAAGCAGAAAAAAATGAAAGAAAGAAAGAAAGAAAAGACGTGTCTTTGGACCTTTTCTTAAATTAGATTTTTATACTTTTTGTTCTTGGTACCATTAACTAATTTCTAATTTTTGTTTATAAAGATTGTTGCATGTAAATTAAATATATATTGACGACACTTTAATAATTGCGAATTTTGTTTGAAAATTGAGATTTTTAACGGGGCGCGTGGTCAAAATTATTGTTATAGCTAACATCATACACTTTGAAATGCATGTATTACCATAAGATAAAATTTGATTTTTAGTAAAACCACTCAATTAAAAAGATCTTCTTTTAATTTTATTTTTCTACATGCAATTGAATTACACTTCAACACGTGGAAGTGATCTGCGGTATTCCATATCCATGTGGACTAGAATATCTAACTATTACCAATTAATCTATTTGATTTAGGGCTAATTTTTTACTTTGAAGAACTGATAAGTTTTTGCATCCGATAAGTTATTTTAGGAGCTGATAAATTATTACGTCTTAATTTTAGAATTAAATTTAAAGTGTTTGGATATGAGTTTATTATCTATTTTTACTCATATAAGATCTTAAATAAAAAAACTAGGGGTAGAAGTACTTTTAAAAAGAAGTTTTATATGTTATGTTCTCTGGCAGCTTATTTTTTGAATTTTCAAAATTGTTTCTAAATAAATTACCAAACACTTTACAAGATTTTATAAGCTCTGTTTAACAACTTATAAGCTAAGGCAAACACCCTCTTAATAAATCACAAATGTCACAAGTTTCTTTCTAGGTCCTAATTTATTTATTTTAAAAAAAAATATATTTCCCCCTAATTTGACATTTGTAGAAATAATGTGTTAAATGTGCAAAATTGGCTATCTATGTTAGAGAGGTATTATTTCATTCATTCATTCATTTATATTAATAATTTATTATAGAAAGAAGTTGCTATTGAATTTCCTTAATTACTTTGTTCCAAGTCATAAAAATTCGGGTCAAAAATTGACGGATCTATCCATTTGTGGCAGTTCTATTTGGAGTATGTTTGCTTTTTGCAATTGAATTTCTCTTAACAGTTTTGATCGTTTAATTTTAGCTTATGACTCAGATAATAGCATTGCAACTAAAATTAGATAATATTTTAATCTTTTTAAATTGTATAATTTCGTGTTAGGCACGTAATTATAAAAATTAGTAACGCCTAATGGTATTTAAATTGTTTTGAAATATAAATTCTAGTTAAAAGTAAAAATTGTATCCAAATATAGGATCTCATAATTACATGAAAACGATAACAAAAGAAAATAAATGTATATACTACTATAATGGAATATTATGACAGTTGTATCCACAATCTTCATGTTAAAATTTAGAAAAAAGAATGAAAGTTGGAGAAAAATTTAGGTTTAGCCAAAATCAATTTAATTTGTTTGATTTTTTTTATTTTTTTCACAATCGTGTGATGTGAACCGAACATGAATTGACTCTAACTCGATTGCATATCACTGGACCTCATTAATATATGCTCAAGTTTGGCTCATGTATTTTTTGAGTTTCGATTTTATATCGAGCAATATATAAATTACATATTTTGTAACTTTGCATACGAGCGTGTTAAAAAGGGGAAAAACAAAAAAGAAAAAGAAAAAACATTTGTAGCCAAAGAACAAAATCTACAATATTGATGAAGAGCAAAGTAAAATAAAAACCGTAGTCGCAAATTAAGATGAAAACCGTAGTATGTTCCTCGAAACAAAGGAAGTTCAAATATTTAATTATATATTTAATTATTAATTTAATCGGGCGGACCTTATTCGCGTTTAGCCATAATAGGCTCAAAGTCGGCTCACAAATTAATTAAGTTTGATAAAATGGCTCAATTTCAACGCGATTCACTAAAAATCAGGCTCGACTTAAATATAATAAGCCAGAGCTATCGGGTTTCGGTTAGCAATTGATTACTTTTCACCAAAGAAATTAATTGATTACAAAGAAATCATTAAATTACTTTTCATCTAAAGAAAACTCATTCCACCAATTGATTGCTCATTGCAAAAACAAGAATAAAAATAATAAGAATAAAATAAATTATTACCCAAAAAAGACAAATAAATTAACACACTGGATTTAAACCTTTTAACCGAAATCTAACAACTGAATTTTCATGATTTTCTATTGGTCATAAACAGATTCACAGACAGTACACATTGCCTCGTTGAAACTGACCAAATTATTTCTTACATTTAATATAAATTTTAACTTTTTAGTGAAAAACATAACAGAAAGAGATGGTTCGAGAAAACCTTTGTAAGAATTATGATACCTTTTACATGAAGAAAACAAAAACAATTAAAGAACACCAAAAGGGATATTTATGTGTGTATGCAATTAGAGGATGGGGTAAACCCTCTATACATGACGTATACATCGAAATTAAGTATTGTTTTACGAAAAATTAAACCCTCTATTTTAGTAGGTAAATTTAACAATGTAAGTATGAATGTGTGAAAAAATAATAGTCAACGACATTACTCTAATATAAGAGGATTTTTTCGTAATTTGACCTTGCATTAAAGATGACCGTACTGATTAGTAGAGAGAGAGAGGGGGTGTAGATTTGTAGCCATTCACTCTTTATTTTTCTTTTTCTCATTGCACGATAATCCCATTTTTCTTGTGTGATATATAGTTGACAAAGATTACTTTTCGTTACACTATACAAATTAATTCCATCCATTTGTTAGGTATATAATAAATATATTACTTCAACATAACCTAATTATATATATATATATATATATATATATATATATATATATATATATATATATATATATATATATATATATATATATATATATATATATATATATATATATATATATACCTAAAACATGTATATACCCTTAACATATTGTCTAGCCACAAACTTATTTTGCAATGTGTAATAAAAATGATTTGACCACTCGAATTAGGGTATGTAGGAATGTGAGAGAGGAGTTATATTGAAGGGAAAAGAACAGTTGACTACGACTTTTCAAATATTGTACCACGTTTTGTATAATGTCTATTTATTAATTAGATTTATGTCAACTTTGGTTGCCTAATAAATGTCAATTTTAGAGTTTTCTTTTTTTTTTTTTTTTTGATAAGAAAATTAAATATATTAGGAAGGAACCAAAGAGTCTACAAGAGGATAATCAGTGTCACAAAAGTAAAGGAATACAATCTTCAAAAATAAAACCATTCCATTTAGACGATTTTAGAGTTTTTTAAATCAAAATTATAAATTTTTATTTTTCAATTTCTATCACCAAACTCCCGTTACCACTTAGGCAAGCAATTCTTCTGCTCGCAAAGACAATTGCTACCTATTTTCTTGTCCTTCTATTCCCATTCTTTCATTCCATTACGAATTGAAGTAATTTGATCTACAATCCAGTGGAATTGAGTTGGAAGATCTGTCTGTATATCAGAAGGTGAGGAGCCGATTGGATGTGGTGTACAGCTAGTGAGCAATGGATAACTAACTCCGCATAACTAACTCATAAATGACGTGGCAACTGATAAATGGAGCAAGTGGAAAACGTTGCTACCTCTCGTGCATGTAGCCCATTAAAGCAAGCTAAAGACGCATTTTACGCCTTGTAGGCTCTTATCAAATACTTGTATTATTCGATGATGCAATGTGAATTGGAAGACTTAGTTATTTAGATAGAGATAATAAAACTATACATAATTATATTGAACTCATCATCCCGAAGTTAGTCTTTATTTGGTTCGTTAGTACCAAACGTTAACTGAATCGATTTTCGCTAAGAGCCACTACTAGTCAGGGGTTCTAATAACGAAAAAAACCTTCTACATGTAGGAGTGGAGAAAGTTTCTCAACTCAACAAATAACCTACAATTGAATATTGGAGTCAAATTATTTAAAATTGGAATTGACATTTTCATACCAATAATATAAAACACGACTTTCTTTAAAAATGTAGTAATTTTCAAAATAGGAGTTTGAATATTAGATGCCCAAATAATTCTGAATTCTATAAACATATTTATATAAATATAAATTCCGGCAAGAACTTTTGACCACCACCATGCACCACTTATTTTGTGTGTGACAAAACAGTTAATCCAACTTTTTGCCAAAAAAAAATAAATTAATTTTGCCATATACATATTTATACCAAAATTAGGTGCCTCCTTAATTTGAACACCTGTTACCTATTTTCTAGGATACAATGTATCATCAGATCAGATCAAATCAATCTTGTCCAAGCTGACAACCTCTCTTTTTTCTGTCTGGAGACCTAATTAATTGTAAGTGGTGCATGCTCTAATTGAAAGTCGTGTCACCAATTATTTAATTGTTTGAATAGCGACTTTGATTGTGAAATCTCTCAATTTATTGCGTTTCTTAATTTAGGGGTCTGATTTATTTCAATTTTTATTACTTGTATTTCTTAAATTTGGGCTCAACCACTATGGAGCCCATATGAATGTAAAAAAAGTAGCCCAACTTTCTAAATCGGTTGTGAATGGACCAAAAAAAAATCGAAATATTAAATAGTCGAAATGACGAGCCCTATCGATAAATATGTTGCGGTGATGGAGGGCAATTTGGGAATATTGGGCCGGTCTAGTAAAGATGGGCTTATTGAGCTAAAAAAGGCCCAATGAGTAAGGTTTCTCCGAAAAATGGGCCAAAACCATGCTTAAGGAGAAAGCCCAACAGTATGAGGCTCGCCGACAGATAGTTCGCATGAGGTAGATATTGACTATGGTTTAGGCCGCGTGAGAAGTAATAAAAAGGGGAGGTGGCGAGCTGACCGAGGAGCTTTTGAAAGGACATGAATTGAGGATATCTTCTGGAAATAGATAAGGAAAAATACGCAAATTAGGGACGATCATCGTAAAATCAGCATAAATCTTGTACAAATATAGAATTATAGGGTTTTGGAACAAGGAATAATATTCTCTCCTCAAATTCTTTCGTTATCTTTTTATTTTCCGTTCATTGTTTTTACCGCTGCCGGCCCTAGGTCCGACGTCAGGTAAGCTCAGCAACGGTCCAAAGTGGTAGGGTTTGAAGACAGGTATTGAGGGTGCAGATCTTGCACCATCATACCGAACACGAAACTCGAAACAATAAATCAAATAATTCCCACAAGTGGTTGGACAATTTCATTAGAGATTAAAGGGGTTCATAAAGATGGAAAAACATTAAAGCAATCGAGAATACTCGGAACTAATCTAATCCGTAAAGGGAAACTAAATATCAAGAAGCCACCAACACTTAGTCGAAAAAACGTCGGTAAAGCGACGTCGTTTTGTAAGAAATCTTGATGGGCTTTCTAACTCTTTTCTAAGCTTTGGACCAAGCTGGTCTTTAGTGGGCTTGAAGATTCAAATTTCAATTCAAAGCTAAATTATTGTATTATACAATCTTTTATGACGAAACTGCCCTTGTGTGGACCACAAATGTCATAGCATAGACAGCTTTAGGTGATAACAGGAAATATCTTGAAGGTTTGCAGTAAAGCATGGGCTGCACCACAAAATTCAAATTATTTTGTGTTACATCGTAATTTCCTTTCTATATTCGAATTTCAAATCTCCCAAATCTAGGATCAACAAAACGACAAATTCTTTCAATTTGATGGACAGTTTATACTTTACTATTATTATTTTCTTTTCATTAATTAGTTAAAAATATTTTTAATATTTTGTAGATATATACATATAGCACTTATTCACCCACTGTTTGAATTTTTTGCACATAACTCCCTTGTATTTTTAATATAGCACATAACACCCTTGTACATTCAACAATTTCCTCTTTCTAGTGAGCATGATATTTAACAAGTGAAATACTATAGCGAAGTTATATGCTTATAGTAAAAGTACAACGGGTTTATATGAACAAAGTTCAAACTATAGGGGTCATATGCTTATATTGAAAGCACAAAAGGATCGTATACACAAAATCCAAATTATAGGGGTTTAAGTGCTATTTACCCATATATATGTTGGTCTAAATTTATACACGTATGTCTGTGGTTGTGTTCCAATTTCACAAGCCATCATATGTTGCACTAGTGCCCACATGTTCCCTTTCGAACATCATAAACACAAAAACTTGGAATATTTAAAATGTAGCTAACACTATCTTTAATATCTAAAGTTCAAAATTGGTTCTTTATATCTAAAAATATAATAGGCGAACAATGTTTTAGCTCGCCACTTATGAACAATTAAATCAAACAGCGTTGCTTATAATTAATTGTTTTTTTATTAATTTTAAATATTAAATTAAAATAATTTAATATTTATATTTCATGGTATGAAAACATTAGATGTATCTATCACTTTTGGTTTCTTTGAATAAATTTCATTAGTGCAATTTTTATTTGACATAACCCCTTTTTATACTTATTGCACCCTTATATTATTTCAATCTAAACTATAAAAAATAAAAAAAAAACTCAATAAAACTAAATAGAAAATAGTTGACGAACAAAAAAATCCGTCTATTATATAGAAAACTAACTTAAAATTAGCTGATTTGCATTAACCGACATGATATTAGCTAACTCGTCCGCTATTTTGAAGCTGATGATTGACCATGCGCTAGAGCTCTTGGGTTTATCTCGAATATAAATATTTTTCGGATTTCTTTAAATTGCATTTTCTTTTACTTACATGTTCTTTTTTTTTTTTTTTTTCTAACCATATGTATATACATATGAACGCAGATAGTTCTTCCCAATGCAAATACCAGCTTCTTAGAACTAGAAAACAAAATAATAAAATGAGAAGAAGACAATATACTAATTTATATTTAAAAAAATAAAATAAAATCTAGTTGATTTTTCCTTCCCAATGTGCACACCATTCTATAATAAACATTTGTGGGTTGTTAGCTTCTTCTCTTTCTCTCTCTTCTCCCAAGATCAATCATGCACAATCATATAGCAAATTTACTTTGTCACAATTTAAATAAATAAAAAAAAAAAAAAAAAAAACAACCTCGGATCTTGACAATGAGTTTGATACAAGGTTTTTTTCCATGCCTCAAAATCAAAATTGTTTAACAATTTCTTATGTGTATCCTCATATTAACATGTAAACATTGTAGTTATCTAAATTAAAATTTAGTACTTTTACGAAAGTAGCTTCAACGAGTGTAACATCGATTGACTGTGTAAAGTCGAAGAATTCTCAATCCACATTTAGTGGAGAGGAAGAGGTGTGCAAAAAAGGGTGGAAAGTTATTCACTTTAATTCATTCAATTCCTTCCATGTAAATAAAGCTCTTGAAAAATTACATTTGAATTAATTTTGAAATTCCTCATACATAATTAATTGTTGAATATATAAAAAAAAAAACCCTAATTAAACTAAAATAGTGACAACATATAATTCATCACATGCAAGAAACTCATGAAACTTAAATATTTGTGCTTCAATGTTGAATTAATCATATACATTAACCAAGAAAACAAAACCCTAGTGGAAGTTGGAAATTTGAGCAATTAATTAATTAATTAATTAAACATAATTCGAACTCAATTAACCATCCCAATTAACATTCTAATTAAATCATCATACTGCAAAATATTAATATTATTACAAAACAACAACATTTTCTTTTAATTAATTAATTACCTACATAGAATATTAAAATTTGTCACCTCCTCCCCCTCCAAGAAAATTCTTAAAAGTTTCCAATTTTTTTTTTTTTTTTGTAATAATTATTATTTAGGTTTTCTTACCAAGAGTGTGTTTGTTGTTGTGCATCCACACTTTAAGCACGTGCCTCTTGATTCCCATTTCGCCGCAGAATTGCTGCACCATTTCCTCCTCCTGCTTCTGAATCCGCCACCCCAACCTCTCCGCGAAGTTCAGCATTTTGTCCTTCTGCTCCGCCGTGAATTTCGTTCTGAATCTCTTCTTTCCGGAGCTGCTCATGTGTGGGTTCGAGTAGTAATTCTCCATCTCATCTCGGGACCCACTTCCATCTCCGCCGTCGCCGCCGCCGGAGCTTGACGGCAGAGCCAGCAGCGCCGCCCTCTGGTGGTGGTGATGTGGTGCGGCGGCGGAGGCCACGTGGAGGTACCCGCTCGGGCTGCGGTACCCGAAATGCGCCGGGTGGTGGTGGTGGTGGGTCAGGAGCAGCTGCTGCTGCTGAGGGTGCTGGTGGAAGGCGAACGCGGCGGCCGCCGCCGCCGCGGCTTCGTTTTCCTTGCGGTGGAAGTTGCGGTGGCAGTTGCAGGCGGCGCACTTGAGGGATTCGAGGGTTCCGTCGTCTCCCGCCGCGATGAACTCGCCGCAGCCGTCCAGGGCGTGGCCACCCATGCCGACGGCGTGGTTCTTCAGACACTCCTTGTACCTGAACTTCCTCAGGGACGGCGGCGCCGCCGAATCCAAAGGGGTCGGCCGAGTCGGGTTCGAGTTGGCCGGCGAGTCGTCGTAACTCGGGCCAAGCCCGAGTTCTCCGTCTTGCTCCTCTTCTTGATCCTCATACTCCATGCTTTTTTTTTTTAGCTTAAGTTCAATAACCTTAATTATCTTCTATCACCTATATATATAATGGTAAAAAAATCATTTTTAATATTATATTTATTTTTTTATTATTCAAGAATGCAAAAAATCAAAATTATGCCTTTGTAATAAATACTTATTTTGTTATTAAAATTATATTAATTCATTATTTCTGATTTTTTTAATATATTTTAGTTGATATACATATTGGATTTACTCCATCATAATTTGGATTTTCTTTTTGTACTCTAATATTAATTTATTTGAACGAATTGTGTCATATACAAAATAAAAAATAGTAAATATCCCTAATACCGTACTTATTTTATATAGGGAATAAAAATAAAATCGAATATAGTTTCTAAAATAAAATATAAATATTTAAGTTGTAGGATTTGTTTGTATACTTTATAACAATAAAATATCTTAAATATATCATATTAATAATTTATTAAGTCTATATATTACATGAAATTGACTTAAACAAGCGTATTTGATTTGTATTTGATTTAAAATTTTCAATCCAAATACACTTTGATAGTCCTATAAAGACTTATGTATTAATTTCAATTAAAAAAAAAGTATTAAATATAAATTGTATGCATGCGTTCTATATATAGTATATATGTATAATAATACACAACTGTTTCACTAGCTAGGCTCACATGCATTACTTAAACTTGTGACAAATGTTACCGGCAACCGGGAATTCCAAGTAATCAATTAAAGGGTAAATTACAACCAACCCCTTGAGGCATTGTCAAATTACGAAAAAAACCTCTCATATTTGGGTAATTACAACCACCTCCCTTAGCTGTAAATTTTCTTACACGTACACCCTTGTGTTGTCAAAATTTAGTGGAATTTTGTAGATTATATGGAATATTGTCAGTTTTGTACCCGTTTTATCCAATTCGAGTTCTACATTTTGAAGTAAAATGATTATAAGATGTGTCGTTTCGCTAGTAAATATCAGATTGTGGTGCATCATAAACTGCATATTTGCATAAAATGAGTATAAACTAGAGAATGTTCCACGAAATCTAGAAGATTATGTTGAATTTGACAAAATAAGATTGAACGCGTGTAAGAAGATTCATATTTGAGGGGTAGTTGTAATTGTCCAAACATGAGAGATTTTTTCGTAATTTGACCATACTTCAGAGGTGGTTGTAATTTACCATTTTCTTAAATTTTGAGATGATAGAACTAAAAGATAGAAGATAAGACAACGGAAAAAATAAAATAAATACCTCACAAGTGTAAAAGAATTCATCCATTCTCTTTCTTACCCGAAATACTGCTCTGGTATTCAACCGGCTACAGCCGGTGAAGGCCCGGTAAAATCAGAGCCCTTTATTTATTTTTAACGGCTGGTAAAGAGAGATGATATACACACAGTGAAACGTGTGGGGTCACACAGTTGTAGAGTACAGTTCACAGTAAGGGAAGTATACGTACATGCATCTGCAGGTGCAGCAGCAGAGAAGCAGAACCAAGAATATTAATCTTCCACCACTTGATTGCCGAGTGAGTGTTGCCCACGCGTTTCTATTCCTTATTACAAATGTAGATATTTTATTTATTTATATTTTATACATACTCAATTTTCATTTACATTTCTTTTTGAGAAATTATTTTATTTATATACTATACTAGATGTCTAAACTCTAAATCGGATAGATTGGAGAGAATTTAGCAATCTCAAAATGAATAATAATATTTTCAAAAAAGTGTCGTGATTCTGGTGAAATTAAGATAATTGTCTTTAATTTCTACCGCGTTAATTCTTTACTTTAATTAAATGAATTAATTTATATATTATATACCAGTGATCGTGTGAAGATGTTTGCATTGCCCGACATTTTACCGAAGAGATATATGTAACGAACGTCTATATATGCTATGTTCTAACAATTCTACTAAGTTTGTTTCTTATATATAAACGGATGCATCAATTCTTCGAGAGATTAGCTTAAAATACCTATAATATGAAATACAGAAATGTAATGTATATTACAGGTGTAATTTTCGAGAAAAAAATATGAATCTAAAATATTAACCCTATTATAGAAAGTTCAAAAAATTGAAAATAGGAACGTCCACATTCCGTAGCGAAATTACATTAATTAATTAGAAAAATATACGATCGAAAACAACGGAATCCGAAAATTGGTTTAATCACAACATTTGGTTTGTAATTACATTTCATTTAGCCGGATCAGAAGATGATAATATGGGATGTGTGGGTTGAGGGTGGATCCCGAGGAGGCGCGTGATGGCGGCGCGTTTGCTGAAAACAAGGTGAAAGTGGCACAGGATATGCTGAGGAAGCGTGAATGTGGTGTGTGTATACGTATGTATATGTAAGGTTTGTTTGGGTGGTGGTTGTGGGTTTTAAATAAATAGTAACCCTATTTGTTATTATTAAAATTTACAGGGGGGGAATTTTTAGATTGGCGAAAATGAATTTAATACAGTGGGGGTGGATAGGGGGTGGGGGTGGGGTGGCGTGTGAGGGTGGTAGTATGACGAACTCAAGGTCTATATATGTTTAATGTTTCTGTGTCCGCATGACCCTCGTACTATTGTAATACGTGGAAAATAAAATAAATTTTAAATTAAATATATAAGTAATTAAATTAAATATCTATTTTAAATTAAATTTCAAATCTAAGTATTTTTTTTTGTTTGTTCTTCAATCGATTTCAAATAAACTAGCTAGTACTCATTTTGAAGTAGAGTGTCTGACTTGTAAAAATGAGTTTTATTTGACGCTATAATTGGTGAAATACATCGGGTGATTATTAACCATTCATCTGCACATAATAATTACACACACTTATTTGTACGTGTGTTTAGTGAGAAGTTATTTCGTTAAAAGTTACCTCATGTATTTAATCTGGTGTAGCAAATAACTGAAAAAATGGTGATCATTTAGAAGTTGTCTTAAGACCGTAATTTTCCTTCTCTCGTGAATGTATTGTTACAACGTGTGCAAAATCGGAATTAATTTTTTGAATTCCGACGATTTCGATTCGAATATTTTTAATCAGAACAACTTTTAACGAAGTTATTGTTGAGCGAGTGTGTTTGTGCATGTTTGTTGATTTGTATTAATGTCCTAGGATTGTAGTTTGTGTTTTCATGATCCTTTTTGCGAATGTACTTTTGCGTGAGTACTTTTGTGCATGCTTTTGTACTTTTACTTATGTGCTTATCTTTTCTAGCGAGTGTTTTTGTGCATGTTTCGTGATGCGCATTCATGTCCTCGAACTGTACTACGTATTTTCATGATCGCTTTTGGAATCAAATTTAACCATGTTCGAGTCCGAATTTAGAAATTTGAGGTTAGACAGGAATTGTAGCCAGCTGAAATAGCTTTCTAATGCCGCCGGAACCAGTTGATTTGGAGTCCGGATGAGAAAGTTATGCTCGACTACCTGGACACTACCAAAGATGTTAAGGGATCATCTCTTCTAATTTAATTTTATTTTCCTAATTGCAACTCTTTTCTTACTCTTTGATCATTTTTGCTTCATGAACACCTAATCTTCGATTTGTACTTATAAGATACTAAATCAAATTGAAAATTGTCAAATTCAGACTGAAAAATAATCCAAATCCCATTAGAAATCAAAATCTTATTAATAAAAAATTAAAACGACAATTAATATTTGGATAAATTATTATTTAGTTGTTGAAGGTGGCCTACATTTAAATTTAAATGTGTACTGAAAAAATAGGGTGCATCTTATCCTGTTGAGAGAGTTTAAATTATGTGCTGAAAATTGAAGGGGGTCCCTTTACTTACGGGGTTCATGTGATCCAATTTAAAGCTAGATGTATGATTTGACACACATATATACATACACACACATATATATATACACACACACTCCTGTCAGCTGTAAGGAAACATTAACCACTCTAATAGTTTTCTTACACTACAAAAGAATATGTTCTCACTACTTCTATTCTTCTTGATATTATATAGCATTTTTTTCGAAATAAATTCGAAAAAATCAAAATTTTGAATGAGAAAATTTTGCAACGAATTCAAAAAATTTCGAATCTAAAATGCATATAAAAATTGACGATTGTAAGTGTATTTTTGGAGTTGGTTTCAAAAAATTTAAGTCGCAGTGAAAATTGAATTCTCGTATATATTTCAATTTCTAATTTTCAAAAAAGTTAACGCTAGAGCAACTGTAAATCGTTTGAAGTAATTATAATATTTTTTTATTATATCATTCTGTATTAATAGCTTCATATATTTAACAATTGATTTCATATTACGACAGTTAAGTTTATATAATCTTTCGTCGAGTGGATTTGTAATCCGATCTGTATAAATGTTGATGTTGTTAATGTAATTTAAATATATTGAATAGTTTTTATTATAATTATGTAATATATTCTTCATTATAATTGTTATTGCCATATATTAAATTAATTATTTTTAATATCTATATAATATATAAAAGTTGAATTGCATGCCTAATTGATTGACATTTGTCAATTTCAAATGATGACATGTCCTTAATTTCATCCAATGTGGCAAATTGATTGGTGAAAATAAATCATCAAAAAACATGTCACTATTTTCCAAAATTAAAAAGATATTAATTATTTAATTATATTTTTATATCATACCATGTTATAAAATACTTGTAAATATATCAAGTTTATTGGGAAACTCTAAATAGT